TATATATATATATAAATAGCACCTCAGTCTAATCAATATTTACATTTTTCTTATATAGGGAACAATCATTGATCGCATTGATTATAACATTCAGAATGTTGCAACTTCAGTGGAAGATGGCTATAAACAATTACAAAGGGTGCTTTTCTCCTACTTTCTTCTCCTCTGTTTCTCTTCGCCATTATTTTCTTCTCAATTTACTAATTACTCTGAAACCCCACTCTGAAAATTTCTTATTCTTACATCTAATCTAATGAAAAAAACCAAACTTTTTAATTAATCATTTCTCAACCTTAATTGCAGGCAGAGAGAAGCCAAAGAGAAGGGGGAATGGTTATGTGTGTAACAGTCCTTGTTCTAATGTGTTTTGTCATGCTTATTCTTCTAATTCTGAAGCATATATTCTTCTAAATTTCACTATCCCAGCAGGAAAAAAAACACTATTAATTGCAATTTTAAATTTTATATCTATGATTGGTATTAAATGACTAGTTTTATTTTACATTCTTGACCTTGCTCTTACTGATTTTGTGAATAGGTTTATTTATTTTTGGAAGCCTTATCATTGTATCAATTGAATATTACTTTGCAATAAAATTTGTTTTTTCATGCCATGTAAACTAGAATCATCTTTATGCACATTTGTTAGCTTAATATATAGGAAAATTTACATGCATACCACTCAATTCCTATGTATTCACATATCTAACACATCAAATTCAATTTTTAGAAGTTTAAATGGTGGTATTTTTTGTCACATGAAGGATTTGGGTATGTGAAATGTTGAAGTTTAGGTGTTAGATATATAAATACATTGGATGATATGTATGTAAATGCCCCTTTTATTTATTTATTTATTTTCTACTAAAAGGCTAAAAAGAAATAGAATTAATAAAAGAGAGGTTTAATTATCTACTTTTTAATACTGTTTTCATTTTTAATTTTTTATAAAATTAAAAATTTGTATTAAATAAATTAAATTATATATATCCTGTACGCTTATATCATTTTTTTAATAATTGATTTATTCATTAATTTGCTCAAGTCTGGTATGATAATTGAGTAATTTTAAAATATTTTAAATTATAAATATATTTATCTTGTAAGTATTAAAAATGAGAAATATAAAACGAAATTCCTATAAATATGCCATTAAAAATGCAAGAGTAACATGATCTTAAATTCTTTTTCATGGTAAGCTGTTCTCCTGTAATTTTAATATATTTCAAATATTTAATATTCATATGATCTTTGCCATATGTTTTAAATAAAATAAAAATTATTAATAATTTAACATTAATTAATTATTAATTTAATAAATTAAGAATTACTGATAATTTTATTAAATAATTTAAAATATATAATACATTTTTATTTATTAATTAACTATTCAATTGCATAGAAATACAGCTAATTATAATTAATTTAATAATATTTAAATTAGTTATTAATTTTTAATCAATTAAATTAATAAATTTAACTTAATTAAAAAATAAATTACGACCGCATATCTGTCTCCCAGGTTTCGCCCAAACTCATCTCAGTCCAAACCCCTCGCTAATGGCACTCCTCCCCCGGTTTCTACAACGACGGGATCGTTTCGCCCAAACTCATCTCAGTCCAAAGAAAAATTATTCCATGCCGGACCGTAAATCACATGATTTACGGTCCTGATGTATTTCGGTGGGCCCCACCTAAAATTTTTTATTTTTTTTTTTAAAAACGGAAATAATCCTGACCGTAGATCACCGTAATCTACGGTCAGGATCGAACACCGCATGCAGAGATATATGCGGTGTCCGCACGCAATAATCTCCCCAGTCCAAACCCCTCGCTAATGGCACTCCTCTCCCGGTTTCTACAACGACGGGATCGCGGTTCACAGAGACCACCGAAACTTCCACCTTTCTCGTCCTTCCGCTCCGCTCCTACCAGAAACCATTGAGGAAGGTAAGCTTGTTCGCGCCGTTCTTCTTCTTCTTCGCTCGACCATGATCTACTAAATTCGAATGCTCGCTTCCATTATATGTCTTTCCATGTTAAAAGTGAACCGAAATAAGCATACCATAAGCCGACGAGTCAAAATTTTCGTTCCCACTGTGAAATCCTCGATCGATAAGGAGAAAAATCCTCAATGAGCACGACATCTAAGTTGCTCCGTGTGTGTTCCCTTGACGCCGAGAACCCTACCGATGCCTCCCTCAGAGAAGCCTTCTCCGCTCACCACGAGCGCCTCAAACCTCCATTTCCACTAACAATTCCTGCGCCATCAGAATATTCGCAGCTCAACCTCGCCCTGGTCTATGGCATCCTCACCGAACCCGGCTTCGCCAAAACCCACCTCACCCATCTCCACGCCCTCGTTACAGACGGATACAATCTCTTCACCACAACCCTAATCAATCTCTCCAATGAATCCTACACCAAGCTCCTCGAAACCCCAAGATCGCAGCTTCTCTGGATCTCTTCTATACTAGTTAAAGTCGCCGCCGTCAAAGTGGAAACCCTAATGATCTCTCTGCTTCGGCAGATCAAAGGCGGCGACTTTTCCGAGCCCAACCTCTGGCTCTGCGCCGAGCTCATCGGCATTTTAGTGCCTAACTGGGATTGGCTAGTGGAGGAGCCCTTGCTTATGAGAAGCTCATTGTTTGTGTTTCTTCGCTTACTAGCCGATCACTATAGGTTGGTTGGTAGAATAGATTTAGATAAATTGAAGAAATTGGAGATCGAATTCTGCATTCGTGTTTTGAGAGAGCATTTTGATTTATGTCTAGGCATTGGCAGAGATGTAATTCGGCTTCTGCAAGATTTGGTTTATATTCCAGAGTTTAAAGACATATGGAATGATTTTTTATCTGATCCGCTAAAATTTGGAGTTTCAGAGTTCATGGATATCTCATATCTTTATCGAACTAAAACTCCTCCACACTACTTGTTACTTAGGATTACCCCTGATATGGAGACTCAATTGAGATTTCTGCTTACTCGTGTAAAGTGGGGATGCCAGAAGAGATATCAGGCATGGTTTGCCAAGAAGCATTTTTGCACACCTGGGAGTGAGTCTCTTATTATAGATATCGTCAGGTTCATTTGTTGTGTCTATCATCCATCAAATGAAATCATTCAGTCAAATGTTATTTCTCGATGGGCGGTCATCGGTTGGCTGCTCAAATGCTGCAGGAAGAACTACTACTCGGCTAATCTGAAGCTTGCTTTGTTCTATGATTGGCTGTTCTTTGATGAGAAGGTTGATAATATCATGAATATTGAGCCTGCAATGCTTCTGATGGTGAATTCCATTAACCAATATATTGACATAACTCATACTTTGCTGGAGTTTTTGTTTCTGCTGGTTGATAATTATGATGTACAAAGGAGAGAACTGATTTTCAAGGGAGTTTCAATATCGTTCAGTGTATTGATCAGGAACGGAGTTGTTCATTCTTTGGAACCTCTAACATCCAGCAGCCAACTTTCACCAGTATTTAGGGAAAAGCTTGCTTCCATGATACCATATTTGAACCTTCAAGCTGCTAAAAGATAATTTAATATGTGTGAAAAACAGTAAAGATAGCTTCCACATCTTTAACATTGTCATAATTTGTTGAACTAATACAATCATATGAATTATATGTTTCAGGAAATTGTTATCAGAAGATGATTTCTATTGATAGTTTCAAATTGATTTTCGGGCAATAGCCTTAACTAGATTTTTTTCTTTATTAGATGCTTACATTGATTCTTGGTATTCTCTGTTAATCTTCAGCAAGTTGCTCTGAAGACATGATTTCATAAAAAATTGGAGAATCTATTCTTTTCTACCGATCACCATATACCTTAATATACACTGGATATTTGAACTTGTTCAAGTGCAAATTTGTCTTATGTTTTGCTGAAATTATATGAAAGTAGATACTTTGCTGTTAGATTTTGGTAATTTTTTTGTAAATAACTTTTTCATGCATTCAGAAACATGTTCTGATGATAACTGTAAGTTCTTTTCAGAGTTTGTTTGCTTTGTGCAAAATCTTCAATGTCATAATTTTGATTTCTGGTGGAACGTTTGTTAAAATGAGCCCGCTTAATTTTGGTGTTCTCCTATACGGTTTAGCAGCTGCAGGTTATGTTAGATCAAATAGAACTGACAGTGAGGTGAAATATATTACTTCTGTCTAAAAATAAAATACACGTAATCGGAAGACTGAGAGAACATCAGTTCTCTGTACATAAAGTCAATACAATTAAAAAAAAAAGAGGATAATAAGAAAGATAGGCACACAAGTTGTCAACCACCATATATTTAGTCAATGTTATCTTTCTCATCTTCATAACTCAAAAAAGGAGTCTAGAACTTGAAGCTTTCACTTTGTATGATCTCGACCAAATTTGAAGCAACGTCTGTAACTTTTAGTGTTGTCTGCTCCACTAACTACACAAATAAGGGTAAATTTTAGAAAAAAAACAAGATTTTATTCATTTCTACTAAGGCAGCGTAAGGGTTTAATTGAAATAATGATTAGACCGAAGCTAAAGAAGTGATTAAACTATCAAAACTAGCCCTTTCTTTTTTATGGAAGCCAAAGATGTAGACTCCAATCCCGCCAATTCTTGATACATATATATATTCCTACTGAAAGGAATTTTGAGTTGGATTCCCACTAATCCTTGGCAACAACATCAAAGGAATTGTTGCTTACATGATCTACATACATGCCACTGAATTCAGATGTATTTGCATATCTAACAACTAACCATCAACCACCATATATTTAATTTTTTAAAAGTTAAAATAGTGGTATTGTTGATGTGATATGAACAATTTGGGTGGTATAAATGTAAAGTGTAAAGTTTAGGTGTAAATTGGAATTAGGTGGTATTTACATAAATGTCCTCCAAAAAAATAATGCTGAAATTCACACCATGTGAAGTGTAATGAGAGAACCATCTTCAAGCTTGAATGAAACAGTTAGATAAAGTATAAAAAATTGAATAAGCAATATATGAATGTACTTGTCAGCAAGAGAGGGAGTAAGAGATAGAGAGAGAATATTTCACAATGCTAACTGAGAAGTATATATTTTCTATGGTGCAATTCCTAATAAAGCTCCCAATTCTACAAAGTTGTTCCGAAAAAAGGTATCTATCAGCTGAAGATAAAATAAAAGAAAGCATTTGAAAATCCAAATTTTGTCGGTCTGTCGGCCGTTAGGGGCTCGCACTTTGGTCTTTTGTTGTCATCTCAACTCTTCTGCTTGTGCGATCGGTGGTCGATGCCCTATGTTTATTTTCCTGGGACTCCATAAGGACTTCTTCGGCAACGATGTGGGCATTTGCTATTTTCAAGACCTCCACAAAGTTCCTTGGCCTGAGTAGGTTTAGGTCATACCTGAATTACTTGTTGTGGATCCCCTGCTTCAGGGCGGTCCGGACGATGAGGGACTCTATAATCAGCCGGTCTACGGGTTTTAGTTCGATCGACCAAAGCAACAGGCCTCATAGTGGTTGTTTCTGCCGAGATATGAGTGATCGGTCGGCCGGTTGAATTCGGCCAGCTTTTAGGGAGCTTCGATGGTTGGGGCCGTAGATAGGCCTATCGACTAGATTCGTTGATGGTGGATTTGGTTGGTCTGTTCATCTTTCAGATGACAGGTTTAGATCATACATCTTGAATTTAATGCCTCGATCGTCGAGCCATCATCTATAATCGTTTGATTGTTTTGGGATTTGTGTTAAAAATATTGGTGTGTACATATTGCAATCCGTGTGCTAATGTTTTATTGACTCTCTTTTAATTATTTTCTTTAAAGGGGTTTTGCAAGAACTATAAATATCCATCTTCTGTTTTGTGCAAGATACTCTCCACTTGTAATCTTTCATTTGATTTAGTGAATTCTCCTTTGCCTGTTGTTTTTCCCATCTTGGGTTTACCACGTAAAATAGGTGTGTTCTTACTTTTTGCTTATTTCATTATTTATTGCATTGATTTAATATCAAATTATAACAATCACAAAAGGTGTTGTCTGAACTCCGGAGAAAGAATATTCTCCGCTTGCTTGGTTTCAGATCCTTTTACTGGTTGCTTGAAGTAAAAAACACATTTTTGAAAAAGCTTAAATGTTAAGTATTATGAGGCTGTTTGTTATCCGATTTTAGATAGGATTTAAGAAAGATTTAGCTCTAACTCCTAAACAAACAAATTCTGGGGATTTTATTTCCCTGTATTTTGATAACTCCCATTTCTACTATATCATTGGGGATTTATTAAATATCACCATTCAAAAGGTTTAACTGATTTGCCGATCACTTAAATTCTAAGAAAACAGCTGAACAATTTATTAGAATTCAACAAGAATTAGCAGTTACCATGCCAAACAGTTTTCAAGTAGGATTTACAAGATTTACTAAATATTGCTTATAGTCAAATAGTCCGTCCCATTCATCATTGTTTGGTTTGGCATTGCTTTGAAGAACAAAGGTTCTTTTTAGGGAAATTTACATGCGTAGCACACAATTATTATGTATTTACACACCTGACACCTAAACTTTCATATTTACATACCTATCACTTTGGTGTGTTAAACATATGCATTGAAAGGTGGATTTCACTTTTAAAAAATGGTAATGGTGCTATTTTTTTATGTGATATTAAAGATTCAAGTGTTATATGTGCAAATGTGAAATTCTAGGTTTGTGATATGTATTTACATAAGAATTGTGTGCTATGCATGTAAATACCCCTTCTTTTTAATAAAAAAATAGAATATTACTGGTATTTAGCTCACACTTCTCTATTCTGATTGGCATTGGATACCATGAGCTCAGTGGGCTACTACTGTTCCTATTATGGGAAGAAGCTCGACCCTAAGCCGGCATGGTGCAGAGTAACCAATGGAAAGAAATGGTGGTGCTACAAGGGCGCCCACCCTGGATCGAAGTATTGCGAGCGGCATGTGCACTGTAATCGAAACCGTTCAAGAAAGTCTGTGGAATCCAAATCCAACTCAGAACCTCAATGTGAGTCACACATTCTTCATCTTCAACTATGACCTCTAATGTTAGCCTCTGGTAGTGGCAGCTTCCAGAACATCACCCTGCAATGCACCATTAGTGGTCGTTGTTTGAGTTCTTCTGGTTCTTCTCGGCTGCAACTGGATGCTAGACCTCATGAATCTATAAACTAAGAGAACAGTTCGTTTTCTCTTCTCAATAAATCATCATTTATATGGTGTTTATAATTTTGGTTTTCCTTCTAGAGTAAATACTTAGGATGGTGAATCTTATATGGTTGCTCATTGGAGGAAATAAATTTGATAAAATTAAGTTCTACATGTACATGTTTTCCTCTTGCAGTTCAAGAAAAATTAGAGAGCTCGATTGATTTTTGTTTGCATTAATTGTGACAACTTAACTATTTTGTGATTAATAAGAGAGGCACCTTCTATTATTGAAATTAATGCCATCACCTTATATAGATGCGTGTGTATATATGCATTATGTTTATATATATATATATATATATATATATATATATATATATGTGTATGAGAATTTTATATATATAGCACACAATTCTTATGTATTTACGTATCTCACACCTAAAACTTCACTGAACTTTGACAGTTACATTTATAACATTGTAGTGCTTTAAATCTGTAGATAAAGTGTAATCTAAATTTAAAAAATTAGTAATAATACTATTTTTGTTGTGATATTAAAGATTTAAGTGCTAATATGTCTGAATGATTTTCTCAATTTTTTATTTTCTTCTCTTCTCATGAATTTTCCCATCCAGGGTTATCCATATAAATCTGTGTTATTCTCCTTGCTTCTTTTTCGCATAAATTTCATAACACTAATTATTTAAACTAATTGATTTCATCAACGGACATCAAATTATATCTATCTTCAATTTAATTTAGGATAAAAGAAAAGAAAATAAATTTAATTTAAATTAATACTATAATTAAATGATAAATAGAATGATCATTTAAGAGATCATTAATAAAAAATCACTTTAATGTGAGATTTAAAATATCAATTTTTAAATATTTTTTGATAGTTTAAAGAATTATAATTGGATTTTAATATATTTTCGGCATATTTTTTAGTAATTATTTTTTAAACAAATTGGCTCACAAACCAACGAGCCGAGTAGGGGCTTGCTTGAGCTTGGCTTGTTAGCTCATTGAGCTCAATTCACGAGCCACTTATTGAGTCTAGCTCATGCCTATCAAAGTCTAATCCAAATAAGGTTAACACAATACGATATTGACTGATCAATAAACAAAAGACAATTTTAATCTCAAACCTCCCAAATATATTTCTGTAGCGGCTCATATATACAATCTAAACATGGTTACAATTCATAGAAATAATAGCTTTGAGAGTTACTTAGCACCATCAATACAACGTTTAACACAAATTAAAATTGGGGCATTTACATACATTCAACACAATTCTTATGCATTTACATATCTAACACAAACATTTAAATTTTCTTGCATACCACTCAAATCTTAAAAGTACTGCCAAAAGTATGATCTTTGTTATCTTTTTCAAAGTAAACTAAGCCTTTTCATGCGTGTTTCGGAAACCAATGTGTTATAAGTGTAAATATCAAAACTTTGGATGTTAGATGTGTAGCGTGCGGTGTCGAGACGAAATATTTTCTCATCATGATGTTATCATGAAGTCTTAAAGAAATAAAAGACTCCTCAGAAACTATGCCAATGGTCAATTGATGATAGAAAATCAACTCTAGGACATTATATTTTAGTCGCATTTATATACACACCACACAATTATTATGTATTTACAAATCTTACACATAAAATTTGATTTTTGCATTTACAACGCTCAAATCTTTCATATCACATATAAAATACCATTATTACTAACTACGAAAAAGTGGAATAGATGAGTGATATAAATATACAATATCTGGTCAAGGAAGGACTACCAGGTTGATCATATGGTCCATTGTTGACCATGTTGTGGTTAGGATGACCATATGGTCAATGGGTTGTTCATATAGTCCAATGTCAACCATGTTGATCAGGGTGGTCTGGTTGACCAAATAGTCCATTGTTCACCATATGGTGGTTCCGTTGATCATAGGGAAATGGATTGGTCATATATCTAAATATATACAAATTGTGCCATACATGTGTAAATCTTCTTATATTTTAATGGAATGCAATAAATTTGTTTTCTTACTAAAGCACAACATAAAATCATGACTCATTCTACATATAAAATTAAGCGAGTTAATACTCCATTCGAAGAAATTAATTTTACAATAATTGAGCCTACAATTCTCCATCACAACAATCATTCATTCATATAAATCCCCCAACAATCCTATATATTTGATGGAAGTGCCATTGATACCAAACATAGTTATTAGTATTTTATATGCGATATGAATGATTTGGGTGATATAAATGCAAAAAAAGTAAACTTTAGGTGTAAGATATGCAATTACATAAAAATTGTGGTACATATGTAAATGCCCCGAATAAATAATGCTCCTAGAAAAAAAAAACCACATTTTTAAGAGCATAAATTTTACATTTATTTTCCCTTAATTAAATAAATTCTCATCATCTTACATAATGTTATAATGGTGATAATTTTGATGTGATACGAAAGATTTGGGTGCTAGAATGCAAAAAGAGAAAAGTTCTGGTGCCAGATGCGTAAATACATAAGAATTGAGTGGTGTGTATGTAAATGTCCCCAATATATAACGCTCATAAAAAAAACCAAAAAATCAGTGTTTTAAGAGTGTAAAAATAATGCTTTTATTCTCCCTAAATCACACCAATTCTCATGCATTATGTTCTTCCCATCACATTCATCTTACACTATAAACACTATTCAACATTCAGGGGAAAAAAATCATCTAATTCTCTTACCTAATTCTGCTGCATCAAGCTTCTGTAACCGAGCCTTGCCTGCCACAAGTTTCTCTGGCCCCCAATATATAATGCTCATAAAAAAAACAAAAAAATCAGTGTTTTAAGAGTAAAAATAATGCTTTTATTCTCCCTAAATCACACCAATTCTCATGCATTATGTTCTTCCCATCACATTCATCTTACACTATAAACACTATTCAACATTCAGGGGAAAAAAATCATCTAATTCTCTTACCTAATTCTGCTGCATCAAGCTTCTGTAACCGAGCCTTGCCTGCCACAAGTTTCTCTGCCAATATGAACTAAGATATCAGAGGAAAAAAAAGTCAAGCCTGTAATCATACTGTAAATGGAGAAGTCATAAACATACTTTCCTCCAATGCTTTTGCATCCTCAATGCTCCTGCGGAAGTAAATATTGCCGATTTTGTGATATACAGCCTGAAAATAAGAATCCAGAGACCAGTTAGGAAACTGTTTCATGCCGAGACGAGGAGAGAACAGATGGGAAATTGGTAATCGACACTGTTAAATTTAAATTTGAAGAATCGGTTTTTGTGAATTTGTTTCCATAGTATACAATTATTCAAAAAAAGAAAAGAAAAAATTGAATTCTAGGGTTAGGAAATTACACGGGAGGCCGAGAGACTGTCTAGCTCCCCGATCGCAATCTCGTGATTCCTTATCTGGATTTAACCCCAAAAGAAAAGTTAAAATGGTTTCCGCCGAAAGAAAAAACTTGAAATAATAGACTGAAATTGCTTGCAATTCTTCGATTTAGTGCTGAAAGCGAATTTATCGGGGAAAAATCAGAGAAATTAGGGTTTGCGGCCGCGAAATTAACAGGAGAGAACAATAAAAGATATAAGTTAGGTGGTGAAATCCTTAACCTCTTTGAGAACTTCTGGAGAAAATTAGGGTTTTAACAGTTTAGGAGAGAACAATAAAAGATATAAGTTAGGTGGTGAAACCCTTAACCTCTTTGAGAACTTCTTTCCTAGAATTTTCATCTTGCGAAATCCCGGAGGAGGAAGAAGACCAAGAAGAGGAAGCCATGCTTGCCTTCTTCGATACCCGATTCGGCTTTACACAGACATCTCAAATATCATTATTAATAATTTTATTAAAAATGCAATTCCACTTTTTCGCGAATAATTTTATCACGCCAAACTATAAATATTTAGATGTTAGATATGTAAATACATAAAAAATAAATTTTGTGTATTAAATTCTCTTTTTCTACTTGTACAAAAAAAAATGTGGTTGCGAGGATCTTGGGGAGATCCAATGATCCAGAAGGGATGATTTAAGCCAAAGGGGGGTCCCACAGACAGAAGACTAGGAGTCCAACTTATGCGATCGGATTTGGCCGTCCAAGCCAAAGTTAAAGCTCGATCACGTCAGAAAAAGAATAGAAAAAATAACTGAACCATCTAAATTCAAATTAATCAAACAAAAGTAAGAGAGACGAGCTTCCAAGCTAAGCACTAAAAGAGAACTAACCAAGGGCGTCGACCTACCTTCCGATAGATACGAACCGAGAAAAGAATCCAGATCCTCACTATCATCAACTGTCTCACAGACACCCCATAGGCACCTCAGAATGGGTCAAGAATTGACAGTATAATAGAGTCTCATAATCACCCTATAGGCTCTCATTTCCGAGAAACGAGCTACTTTTCGGGTTATGGTTATTCATCGTTTGCCCAATAAACCTATTCTTGCCCTCCCAATAGAAGCTCCTCATCCAGAGATCGAGTGTCGAGAACCGGACTAAATTAACCGATCAGCAAAGCCTAATCAACTGAATCAGTCATGTCGACTCAAAGCTAATCTAGCTCAACTAACCGACAACGCCAGCTCAGCCTAGCCGACCGAATCGATCTTATCGAGCCGAAGCCATAATAGCCCAACCGATCGAGCCAAATAGCAACCGTGCGATGCTCATATACGTAAAATAACTAGAAATCATTTATAACTCTATATTAAAACGGGAGCAGAAATGTAATTTCGCTATATTGTAACCCCTTTCATATAAATAGAAATATCACTGTAATAGATATTCCTATGTTCATTATTATTAACTGTCATCTCTATCTCTCTCCCTCCTTTCTTTTGTTTTATTAATTCGCGCGGGCATATCAGAATTCAAACAATTCTCAATGCAATTAAATTATTTGATTAAGAATGTGTAATAAAAAAAATAGATTATGGTGAGCATATAATAAGATATTTAATATTATTGAAGAATAGTCTAATTTCATATAAAATACAGGACATATGTGTACACGTATACACTAAAATTATTAGCTCGAATAAAAAAAACAATAGGACGACTAAAGATGAGGGCTCAACAGTCAAGGTGGTGAATCCTCAAAGCGTGATTCGAACCGGCCATCCGAAGACCATCCGCTCGTTCAAGCCGACTGACAGACAACGTTGACAAATTCCATCTACCAATCTTATTTGCAGTAACAACGGCCTAAGACCACTCGCGGGATCACTTGACCGAAATGAATCCACCATTCCATATCAATAGGAGCGATCGACGCCCAACCAACCGATCCAAATCAGTCGGAGGCAGTCGACACTCGATCGGCCGAGTTTGCCAACTGAGCTCTACACATCAACCAGCTAACAGTCGTTAGCTCGCATTCAAATTGTAACACTAATCTAACATTAAATTAATATATACATAAATATAAATATAAATATATATATATATATATACATACATACATTATATTAAAATAGTTCTCCCCTTTTTATAACTGTATAAATGAGCTACTATAAATAGGAGATCTAACGATAAATGAAGACTTTCATAAAGTCATTAATCTTCATCTACTTAGCCAATAACTTTTAGGAAGATTTACACCTATACCACTCAATTCCTATGCATTTACAATCTAATATCTAAACTTCAATTTTTACATGCATTCCACTTTACATTTGCAGAAACAATTTGCATTTCACTTTTTAAAGATTAAAATGATGGTATTTTTAATGTGCACTAAAAATTTGGTGGGTATAGATGTTAAAATTAAAATTTAAGTGTTAGATATGTAAATTCATAGAAATTGAGAGCAATATATGTAAGTCCCCGAAAGAATGCATATCAATGATGCTTTATCACAGGCAGAAAGGATCATAGACATATAAAAATTCTGATATCATTTCCTCCTGCTTCTCATCACTCTTCATTCTTCATCAATTCACCTTCTGCAAACACAAAAAGGGGGCATTTGCATGCATGACATCCAATTCCCATGTATTTACATAGCCAACCCCTAAAGTTTATTTTTTTACAATTATTCCACACATATCATTGGTATCCCCAAAAATATACCACTGCGTTAACTTTTAAAGGGGGAAATACATGTTTTCATGCATAGCTAAGATGGTGCCATGCGCAAAAATTAAAATTTAGGTGTTAGATATGTAAATACATAGGAATTAAGTGGCAAGTAAATCTTCAAACAAAAAAAGAAACCAGCCTGTGATTAGTTACAGAAGAGAGGCTGCAGGAGGAGGAGGAGGAGGGGGGATTCTGGCGTTGGCGCCGAGGATCTGCGTGAGATGAACTTCTTGGGGGAGCAGATTGTATTTGATGTTTAGTGTTTCGAAGATTTTCTTCAGCTCGAAGATGAGCTCTGATCTTCTGCTGTTCCTTTCAGGGAAGTTTTGGTGATTCATTGTGTGCAGAACATTGAGGGCCATCTTCATCTTGTTCACGTTCTCAATCTCCTTCACTAAAACTGAGTGCTTTGGATCCCAGTTCTTCGGCTTGCTTTCCAGATACCTTCAAGAGTTGGTGCATCCAAATTAAGAATGTCAAACTTTTTTAATTATGTAGATGAGGATAAATGTGGAGCATTTACATATATACCAACCACACTATTGTTACACCCATGTGTATTTAACATTTCCGACACCCATGTCTACATACATCTCACCTCATTCCTATGTTTTTATATATCTAAAATCTAAACCTTACTTTTTACATTTATACCTCCCAAAATTTTCAAATCCCATCCAAAAATATCATTATTTTAACTTTTAAAAACTGAAATGCACGTTTTCATGCATGATAAAATGTCATGTATGTACAATAATTTAATATAATATTTCATGAGCTTAATTGTTTTTATATATCTAAAATCTAAACCTTACTTTTTACATTTATACCTCCCAAAATTTTCAAATCCCATCCAAAAATATCATTATTTTAACTTTTAAAAACTGAAATGTACATTTTCATGCATGATAAAATGTCATGTATGTACAATAATTTAATATAATATTTCATGAGCTTAATTGCAATAAATGCCAAAAAAATGTCAACTGACTTTTTGCAGGGTTATTTTAGTCCCATAGTCTATGATAAAATGTCATGTATGTAAAAGTAGTACAATAATTTAATATAATATTTCATGAGCTTAATTGCAATAAATGCCAAAAAAATGTCAACTGACTTTTTGCAGGGTTATTTTAGTCCCATAGTCTATAAAAATATCACTTTAATTTGAGATTCTCTTCATATGAGTTGAAATTAATCTGGCAATTTTATAAATTATGTGGCTAAAATGACTCATGTGAGACATCCGATTTATCAGGCGTGCGAACAACGGCGTGAATTGCATCACGCTGTGCGTTGAGCGGCATTGTGCAATATGTCCATCCGTCAACCACACGTCCGTCGTCCAAAAATAATATTTTTTCCGTCTAAACAGCGAGTAGACTATTTGGTCACTTCGCAAGCTAAGGTTTTTTAATAGATGTTAAGGCAGATATACTTACGCCTGGATTGACTTTCTTAAAGAGGTAATAGAGTCAACGGGGGTAGAAACGTCAATTTGGAATTCTATCGTATCACACATATGTGGGCTTCGGTAGAAATTACTGATGGGCTTTGTGAGCAGAACTGCATTTGGATAATAAATCTTCTCGTTATCATAGCGAAGGAAGACCGTGGTCAGGATGTTCATTTCCTCAACAATCATCTGCAGTGAATGAAGTTCAAAAACTTGTGATTATAATTTCATAATCTATGAAACAGTATGGAAGATTTACAATTATAACACTGAATTCTTATGTATTTACATGTCTAACACCTCAACTTTACTTTTTATATATATACCAACTTATCTGCGCATGAAAAAGGTGTGCTTTATTTTTTATAAAGTTAAAAAAAGTAAAACTCATGTGTTATATGGAAAAATTGAAGTTTTATTAGGTGTAGGAATTGAACCTGGACGCCATCGATGACGCAGCGATCGCCAACATCAAACGGATGCATGACAAAAACAAAGACGATAGATTCAAACAACGTCTTCCCTGCGTTCTGGAAGAAGAACCCCAGCAGCAGGAGCTGAGAAGTAATGGCGACAAAGACTTTGGTGGTCGCCACACCCATTACCAGCAGTGATACCACAACAATTATCACACTCACAACCGCACTCGCAAGCTTGTGCAGCTGCTGCACCGCCGTCTTCGTGTCGTTTAAAGAGTGAGCCAGCGATTTCCTCTCCCTGTAAGCTCTTACCTGCGCAACACAAATTTAAATTAGTCTAAATCTTTCTCCTTAGCATGCAAAACATAAATTTACATGATGAAATTTAGTTTTACATAAATTTTTAATAATGTGGGACTAAAGTAGAACAATATTTTAGATTTTTGCCCTTTTAGAAACTGAATTTAGTTGCTGACCACCCAATTCCTGAATGCAGATTTCTTAATCCTTCCAGTATCGAGGGCGCCTTCAAACAATGGAAAGATGGTCTGCACCTCCTCCTCAGTCAGAAATCTCCTCAAATCATCCTCATCTATGTACCTGAATCACACAACCATGTTTCAAGTCAAGCATTATTACAAGACATACCGCCCAGTTCTTATATATTTTCATATCTAACAGCTAAATTTTATTTTTTATAATTATACCACCCAAATCTTTCATACCACTTAAATATCACCGTTTTAATTTTAGAAAGGGAAATACAGACAGGAGGTGATAGTCCACCCTGAAATTTGTGATTTTTTTTTTATATAATTAATGTAATTTAACAATTTAGTAATTTTACCCATCCTCTATATATTATTTTATCCAAAAATTAAAAAAAAAATCAATATTTGGTGAATTTGCCCACCCAAAAATATTAGACAAATATAATGCAATGTTTGCATTAAATAAAAGAGATTTATATGCATAGCACCTACTTTTTGTGTATTTATATATCTAAAATCAAAACTTCACTTTTTATATTTATACCACCCAGATCTAACATCAACTCAAACATAGTAAATATCATTTTTTTTTTACTTTTAAAAAGTGAAATACAACTCTTCATGGCATGCATGAATAAGTTGAAGTTTAGGTGTTGGATATGTAAATACATAGGAATTTAATGGTATTTATGTAAATCTTCCTAAATGAAAACCTGTTAAACGTGCTTCATACTGCCTGATCCCCTTTCAGTCTTACTTTATTTTAGAAAAATAATTGAGTCTTTGACTATGTACCAGTAAGATGACTGTTCCTAATTTTTGTGTCCAGACTAGATTTTTTTTTCTAAGCTTTAAATGCATGCCACACAATTATTTTATATTTATGTAAACTTTAATGTTTACATTTATAGCATTTATATATAAAAATATTTATTTCAGTTTTAAAATTTCAGAAAATTTACATACATTTGATTTTAATTTTATAATATAAATATTCAATTTTTCAGTTGCGGATGGATTTTAATATTTATTAAGCTAAAAGACCCAAAAAATCGAATAATTAAAGATTAAAAAATTGAATTGACTTAGAATGAAAAAAATTGAGCATATAATAAACCAATTTGGATTCATTTACTTCTAACTCATATGCGAGTAGTAGTCAACTTGAGCTCAACTAAATAAGTGGCTTTTGAATGGAATTAGGGCTGTCAATTTGGCTCATTGTTCGTGAACAGCTCGTGTTCGGCTCATTCGT